TAATCACGCGTTGCGTAGCCTCGTTTATTCGCATCAAACAGTTGAGAGAGAAACTAGATGGAAACAGTCTAGATTCAAATTTTTATTTATTTAATTTTTTGCGTATTTTGAAAAGTTTGATAAAAATTCCCTCTACAACTGGATGGAAACACGACTATTTATTGCAACATTATGTATCAGTAGGGTTCCACTAATTTGTTACAATTTTGCCCGTCTGTGTTTAATCCTGTATTCTTGGTTTTAAATAAAGGAGTGGGATGAATAATAAATGAAACTGAAAAGAACAGGTTGAACAGACATTTCAGGAGACGGTGATTACAACGTGAAGCCTGAAGCTAGTGGGCTGTGACTCAGTCTCTGAAGGAGGTCCTCTGGCTTTGAGTCTACACTGGTTCAAGACCATTACCCCTCTGTCCAAAACAAAGAGGTCTGAGAATGTCTAACGCATGCAAACAGTAGTGTTAATGAGCGCATAGAGGTGGTAAGGTAAATATTCAGGCGAGTGAGGGAAATCCTGAGCTGGCTGACATGAATAGAAAATGAGTGGCTGCAGAATGCATTGTTCTATTGTATAGGAATTGTTTTCATGTGAGAAAAACCTCACATCAAGGTAAGTATTTGGCTCAAACACGAAGATTCATTGTAAAAACCAAACAAAAAGTATATACATCCAAGAAAATTCCAACATGTCTCAAAAGATTCCTTAATGTACAAAGATTAATTTTGGGTTCAACAGGGTTGAGATTAGCCCTTCTTCTTCTGGCACATATCTCATTCTGCAATTTTTGTGTTATGTCAACCATGTATGAAAATGTTCAGCTCTCTCAGCACATTCCAGCTCTGACTTTTGGTACTTCAGCAGTTTATACTTTTTGAGATATTTGGACTTGTTGCTCTGTTTGTTCTCACTGAAAATGAATGGAGCTGTTTCAGCATCCTTCAAATCCTTCACAAAAAGTTCAACATTTCCCCATTTCTTGCCTTTTGTTCTGGTTCTGTTTTTTTTTTTATGTATTTAACGTAGCTTCCTTCAGCTTCTATTTTTTTTGTACTTTTTTTTTTTTGCTAATTCAGCTCTTTTTTTAGCTATCTTTCTGCTCTTTTCAGGTATTCTGCTAATTCAGTTTTTTGTGCCACTATCAGCTTTTTTTCTGGTAATTTAAGCTTTGTATGCTTCTTTCAGCAAATTTTAGCCTTTTTCAACTAAATTCACCTTTTTGTGATGAGTTCAGCTACTTACTTCTTATTTGGCAAACATATGCTCTTTCTGCTTGCTTTTTGTAGATTCAGCTTTTTAGCTACTTTTATGCTGATTTTAGCATTTTTGAATATTTTATACCAAATAACTAAATGTTTGTAAATATTTTCTTTCCTGCATAACTCTTGCAGCGTTAAGCTGTTGTATTAAGCTGTCATTAAGCTGTTACGTTGCATTTTTATAGGAAGTGCACATTCTCTAACATTATGATCATTCAGAAATACAAAAAATGCAATTAAACTAATGAACAAACACATTTTACCAAACATATTTGTAACTGAGAAGAAACAACAACGTTTGGCCTCTGTACAGAACGGTACAAGATGCTTTCCTAAAGGAGACAGGAGACACCTTAGCCCCTCCGGCTTCATAACACAGCTGCTGCCAATTGGCTATGGCTCACTGCAAAAAGACTTTTCTCTTTACCTCCCTGTAATACTTTCATATTCAGTTGTGAAAAAAAAAAACACATTTAGAAATCAACACCAGCAAAGCTGGTCTAGGATTACAGGGGAAAGACTGAGTGGAAAATATGCAACATTACCTGGACAGCTCTGAAAGAAAAACATAATGAAAAAAATGCTGTGCAGCCTAAACATCCCTCTGGATCACTGCTGATAAGACAGACAGGAGCTGCGTGTTTGGCACAGATGGAGTGAGCTGGGCCACAGTGGCAGTCAGCCACTACACACACATCTGATAACACACACACACACACACACACACACACACACACACACACACACACACACACACACACACACACACA